TATATATATATTGCAGGTTGTATTAGCCAAGGGTGAGCGATATATTTAGTATATCCTGTAAATTGGGAGTTTTCTATTTATATTGCATGAAAAATGACTATTGAAATTTTTAAGTATTAATTTTAACATTGTTTACAGTTGGAACCTACTCATGAGAAGCTTAGTTTTCCCAGGCGCTTCTAACGCATCACATTAGTTTTTCATTAATGTACACAGACTGAATACATCGAACCATAAATATTTTTTTCTAGTTCGTCAGGAATCCCAAAAAAAAAATTGGTGCATTTTTGGTTTTAGTTTTCTCTGTTTTAGGAAGGCGCTGACATTTTTTTTGTGCAGGTTGTAATAACCAGGGGTGGGCAATATGCTGAGCATATCTGACAAATAGCGAGTTTCGTATTTATATTGCATGATAACAATATTATTATTGTTGACCCTCTGCACCTAATTCACAAGACACTTAGTTTTTCCAGGTTCTTTCAGCGTGTCGAAGCAATTTTTGATTAATGTGCATCGTGTGCTGAATGCATCTGAACTTTTTTTTCCCTGGTTTGTCAGGAGTCTCAACAAATTTCATATGGTACATTTTTTGATTAAGTTTTTTGTTTTTACCCAAAAATGTATAAAAAAATTACTTGATAGATTGTTTTGGGAAGGTGATGATATTTCTTGGTGCCGGTTGTAATGGCCAGGGGTGGGCGACATATTGAGCACATCTCCTATATTGCGAATCTTGTGTTTCATGAAAGATTACTCAAGTATGTATGTAATGAATACATCTAAACACATTATTTTATTTTTTCTAGTTTCTCAGGAAAAAGTGACTATATATAAAGTATAAATTTTCAGAGGTTTATAGTAACTAAGTACGTTTACTTCATTACAGTACTTGAGCAGGTTTTTTTTGAGGATTTGTAATTTTACCAATTATTTTTTAAAAATAGCTACTTTTACTTTAGTTGCATTTTAAAGCTAAATGATACTTTTACTTCTTTACTTTAAAATTTAATACCTAGTTACACGTTATAAAATTAAATATGTTCAAACTCATCATGAAAGAAGATGTTTCTGCACTCTAAAAAATGAAGTGTTGAATTTACTTATCAAAGTCATGTTAACTGGCTCCATTAAGATTAGTTGAGTAAACTGAGCAAAGAATATACATATAATGCTCGATTTACTCAACCTGGCTTAGTGGAACCAGTTTGGTTCAGTAAGTTCAACAGTTTATTTCTTAAAGTGTGTGTAAAAGTACTTTAATTTTTATTTTTCCTGATTTTTGTGAACAGTTTTATGACTGTTACTTGAGTAGTTTCCTCATCAGTGAAATTCATTTTTACCAAAGTCATTTTCTGTTCAGGTAATTTTACTTTTACTTAGTTTTTTTTAAGTACTTTATAGACCTCTGTAAATGTTATCATTGTTTACAAGATGCACTTAATTCATGAGAAGCTTAGCTTTTCCCAGGCGCTTCTAATGCATCCAAACAATTTTTGATTCATGTGGACAGACTGCATACATGGTAAATTCATTAGTTTTTTCTGGTTTGTGTTTATTATTAGTAACTAGTGGTTACACTTGAAATAGCTCCAGTTACCCACACACAATCCCTTTGAGGGTTGAGATTATCTTTGCAGATTACCTCTAACCTTATGATGTCAGAACCCATATTTCCTGTTTTGCTGCTTTTCTTTTTAGTGTGCAGGTGGGGAAAAAAGTTGTAATCAGTTGTGGCTGATCCGCATTCAAACCAGCTGGAGCAGTTTTCTTAGGATTTTAATAAGCCTGTTGTTTCAGCATTTTTAGATTTGGAATGAAGCCATTTATAGGCCTCAAAAAGCTTTTTATTTCTCAGCTCCGTTCACAGTGAAAAGTTGTGTTCAAGCCTTGTCGTTTACACACAGTCTTTATATCTTAAAGGAAAAGGAGAGCTAATGAAGTTATTTATGTTTTCTCTCAAGACCGTTGTTAGCATTTCCTTTCACTAATGGAGCACCTTCAAGGAGCGTGGAGGACCCTGAGCAACGGTTTTGGGATGAAGGACTCTGTTTTTGAGGGTCCCTGTCTTTCCCCCACCATGGTCCAGGGCTTTCCCTGCCAGCGGCGCTCCTCAGACGACAGCAAGATGCCGGACTCAAAGACTAGCACCACAATCCGTGTCTACCTCCCCAACCAGCAGCGCACTGTGGTCAGTCGTCACTGGAGGAGAATCCATCTTTGGTTTCTTGACTGTGAACGAGGCCTCGTAGTTCAACTTGTATTTGTACCTGTTCACCTGTCAGGTCAACGTACGGCCAGGGATGACCCTCTACAGCTGTCTGATTAAAGCCCTGAAGGTCCGAGGTCTGCAGCCTCAGTGCTGCGCCGTCTTCAAGCTGCACTCAGGACAGACCAGGTGGGGTTTGTTTCCCTTGTGAGCGAGGATGAGCAAATCGTAAAACCAAGAACTTTTCCAGACGTCTAATATATTTTTCTCTGCGTTTTCTTTCCAATCAGTAAAAAATCACGGATGGACTGGAACACCGACTCTACGTCTTTAATTGGGGAAGAGCTGCTGGTGGAGGTTCTAGATCACGTTCCGCTGACGACGCATAATTTTGTAAGTATCCCAAGTGTTTCGGAGAGCCTCCACAACTGAAGCGTTTCGCCGCTGAATGAATAAAATCCACAACACCTCGTCACTTTCAGGTTCGGAAGACGTATCTGAAGCTAGCCTTCTGCGATATTTGCCAGAAGTTTCTTTTAAACGGATTCCGCTGCCAAACTTGTGGCTACAAGTTCCACGAACATTGTAGCACCAAGGTGCCCACCATGTGTGTGGACTGGAGCAATATTAGACAACTCCTGTAAGTAAAATAACTCTAAGATGTCTATCAGGAATTTTATTGATATGTTGATGAGTCGGTCAGTGTTTCTTTGAATGTCAGTTTCAAAAATAATATATATATATATATTTAAATTAAAACACTGAAAACTAAAGGTGTTGCTTTTCTTGAAGGAATGCATGTCGCTGCCGTTCATGCCAGGATTATATGCAGATCCTTAAAAAGTTTTAAAAGGCATTGAATTCATCAATCTAAAAATAAGTCCTTAATTAGCCTTAAAATGTCTTAAATTAATCTGTCAGAAGTCTTAAAATGTCAACACATTGTAGATAGGATGATTGTAATTCATCTCAAATATTAAAATAATTGGTAAAAATTATTTTTTTAAATATTCACATGCAGACATTCCCCTTTGACATCACTTCCTGTTATTTCACTTTCACATGCAAATATCTCTATTGTCCATCTGAGCAATGTGAAATTCGTTTTGTAAAATGTTAATGTTGTCTTTTCAAAAATGCATTAACTTTTCTTACAAAAAATTGATGTCACAGGCACTTTAAGGTTTCATCTACAGCAAATTGGGGTTAAGACCCCACTGTGGGTCCTAAAACTCCAAATTTTGGGTCGTTAAAGGATTTCCTGAAATTAGATTAAGTTTTAAACTGACTGCTAAACCGTTTCTGCTATAGTTAGATATGAATAAAAACAATCGGTCTATTAGCAACCAAAAATACTTTGATTCATGAGTTTCTGCCAGTTTTTATTTTTTATTTATTTTTTTGTCATTTGTGTTTTATTATGAAATTGATCTTAAATTTAATTTCACTTGGCATTAAAAAGTCTTAAATATAACTTTCTTTAAACTGTAGGAACCCTGTATAAACTAAGATAATCTAATTTTGAGAAAATAAATTTTAGCTGTGTTGGTCACCTTTTGGAAAGAAATTTTGCACACAGTTTCACACGATTACCATACGTGTGCGTGTATAATGCCTTAAAAATTGAGTCATATATAATGCTAACCCTAATTTCAAGACTTGAGGATTTTCAGCCTTTGCTGTGTACCCTCTGGTGGGGAAACACAGCTGGTGGGAGTGTCTGTTTAGGAGCAATACACTGAGCGTATTGAAATGACCGGCATACTCGTGCACTTAAGTGAAAGGAGCTTCGTTTCAACAGTTTACTGAAATTTAGCACAAGATACAGACTGTTGTTACTGTGGTGGGTGACCATATTTTTTATAATAAATTAATATTATAAATCTAAAAACTGCCATTTTTAGATTTAATGGCACATTTGACCTAATTATTGAAAACGTGGCTAAAATATGAAACATATTGATCATCATATCGAAATGAGGATTAAGTCAAATTTGGTCAAAATGACCTAATTACATTTTCAGACACCTGGCTTTAAAAGCTACATTTTGATACCTGGATCATCCTGACATCATCAGTTTATCCAGAGATATGACTTAATTTGTCTTGTTGGTTATGATAACAAATTACTGTTTGGTCTGAATCCTAATTTTATGTAAATTGAGTAATTTTTGATGTCAATATTAATTGTATATTATGATTTCCCAGTTGTAAAGAAACAAAAACATTGGTAGCTCACAGGGAAAAATTCAAATTTTTAAGGCGTTTTTCCTCAAAATCATGTTTTTTTTTGTTGCTGTTGCTCAAAAAGTGCTTCTAAAAATATTTTTTAGGATTATCTTTCAGACAGTTCATTCAAATGATACACTGATAAGGCATTAATTATTATATTTTGACAAAATGCAAATTTTGCAGATGTTTAAATCAAAACCTTATGTCTGCCTATTTCTCCACATCCCAGTTTTGGACTTAATCCTTGTTTCGATGTGATGGGTCACATATATCGCCATATATCATATCGTGATCCCTGTGTCGTGTGTATCGTCTCACCAGATTCTTGCCAATGTTATTAAGCTTTCTTGGTTGTGGTGGGCATCTTGAACTGGGTTGACTCCAAAAGTTAAATAGTTCTTCCTGATTGTTTTTTTTAAATTCAGTCCAGTGTTTCATGGTACATTTTGTTAGCAGCACAGACACAGGTAAAGACATCATTTCCCATCTTTGTTGCTACACATTCTCCGCTAAGTGACAGATCATCACAAAATGTAACGTGATGCGGCTTTTAAAATTGCCACTTTTAAAGCAGGACGTGCTGCAAAGATAAAAAAGGAGGAAGTTCCGCTGATGTTGAAGTTTAGATTGCATGATTTTGCATGCAGGCCCTCTGAAAAGAAGCTTTTTTTTATTTCCATTTGGCCTGCAGGCCTTAATATAAACAGTCAATTATTTAAAGATCTGTTTGGCTACAAACTGCCCCGTGTCAGTAACTTGTTTGTGACGGTTCTGTCTCTGTCGTCAGGTTTTGTGCAACACCTGGCGATGGCAGCGCCCCGTCGCTGCCCCCACCCACGTCCCGACGTATGAGGGAATCTTTAACGCGGTTCCCAAGGTGAAGTTACTTTTTCTGTCACTGCTGCAGCACAAAACACAGGAACGTCAGAGGAGCAGACGTTTTTATGGAATTGAGCCTCTTTTGAAATGATTTTGAAAGAAAAGGAACAAATTTCACTCAGTTTTTAACAAGTTCTCATTTTGGTTCTTTTTTTCTTCACTGTGGTAAAAGCTCAGATCAGTCAAAACCAAACGTTTTTTTTTTTTCTTTCTAAATGTTTGGTTTCTGGGATTAAATTGAGGGAAATCGATATTTAAGAGCTTTAATTCTAATTGAATTACATTGTGTGTTTGTTTGTTGACTTCTGCTTCAGGAAGACTTATTGGGTGGGAGGAAATGGTGTAACCGGGTGTGAAGGAGAGTCTGTTTTAGTGGCTGATAAAAGTGGTTCAACCACTCTGACTTGCTAAAATAGCTCTTGCAGAGAATCAAGTTGCTTCTTGCAGCTAATTCTTAATTGCTCTTTAGAAACATTCGTTTGCGTTGCCTATAAAGAGCAATTGTTTGTGAGATATCCACTGTGTGCAGGTGTCTGCTGCCCTGTAAAACAATGAGCTACATTCCACAAACTGGATCTCTCTTTTTTTATTTTATTTTTTGTGGCTGAAATAAAAAAAAAAGCAGATGTTTGTATGTGAACAGTTCATGTTGGCTTTAAGATTAACATGTTGGACTGGAAAGCTTTGTACTCTTTAACTACTGATCTTGGCAAAAAGCCTCTGCAGGATCAACTCGACCAAAAAAAAAGGCTCATGGGGAAGATCGTAACTATTATTAAACAATAGTTACTTCCTCCCCAAAAAATCTGTCAGTTTTACAGCTTTGTGCAAGTGTAGCGTAGCCTCTTAACAGTGTGAAAAAGGTCCAACCTTAATAAAAAAATGCATTTAATGAAGTGAGTTATTAACTATGGCAGAAATGAAACCAGTTGTACCCAACAGCCACCACACCCTCAGTGAACCAGTTCTAAAGAAATGATCTAATTAAATGTTTTACAGCGGTCTGTGTTGTGCCTATTCGGAGCAACGAAACCTCAAATTTGATTCTTTATCCCACCCTGTTACAGCTCAGCCCACCGAAATTCCATCACTCATGCCTTCAGCTACAACACGTCGTACCCACCCACGGGCGGTGGCCTCTCTCAGAGGCAGCGCTCCACCTCTACGCCCAACGTCCACATGGTCAGCACCACTCTGCCCGTAGACAGCAGCATGATCGAGGTAACGACACACCATGTGGGGCGGGTGGGGGGCATCTAGGTTAAACTCCTAAAATATCTCCTGCCTCAGAGCGTTGTGCTCCTCCTCGCCACTTAGGCATTCCAGCTATCTTTGTCTGACTTGTAATTGACCTCTTATACCTCTGCTGTTAGTCATCCACCTGAAGAGGGCTGAGAATGTTTCCCTATTTCCCTAGATGGCATCTTATTTCAACAGTTTCTTCTTTTACTCTTGCACATTTTGACTTCCTGTTGTTCAGTTCCACTTTCGGCTTCATCACCACCCTTACTGTTGCATAATCAACCCGTATTTTTTATTTATTTATTTATTTTATGATTTCTGCTCTGCATCTGATTTAAGTAGCATAACTTTTCCCCTCACTTTCCTTTCACTCTGTCCTTTTCCCCTCCTGTTTGTGTTGTACCCTACTGGAGAGTAGCTAGACTGCCTGAGTGCCTCTCCCAGCTCCTGGTGCCGTAGATTCTGGCTGAAGAGGAAAGTAGGTATTGTGCACTTCTCCCAGTCTTTTGTTGAGGCCTCATCTGAGAGTCCAGGAAAGGTTAGAACAGCAGAGTCTGTGTGTGCATGCCTTACAAAGCCTGCATTCAAAAATCAGTATTGCAGTTATCAAGTCCTGAGTGGGAACATGGCATGCCAGGATTTGATAAAAAAATATCAAAACTAATTTGTGTTTTTTTTTTCTCTGTATTTTTTTATAGGATGCCATGCGTGACCATGACTCTGGTGCGTGCTTCCTCTGCCTTTGTGTGTTTGTGCTGCAACATGTTTACTTCACATATTTCCCACTCAGAATGTGCTCTCATCTAAAACAGAAATACCTTCCTCTCCGCCCATATAGTTAAACTAGAGAGAGTGTGATAACGCAGTTTGAATGCTGAAGGACTGCTGAAATTGGCTGTAGAAGCTTAAATGCAGTCGTTAGAGCTGATAGCAGAACAGAGACAACTGCAATCCCAAGTTGAATAGTACTAGAATTAGCAAAATTCTATTTAAATCTAAATGTAGCAAAATGTTAACAAAAAGTATCAAATTGCTAGCTTAAAGCTAAAGGTAATGAAGTGTTAAAAGTAGGAAAATGCTAGAACTAAATGTAACAAGATGCTAATTTGAAGCTAAAAGTATTGAAATGCTATCTAAAAGCATCAAAATTGTATTTAAAAGTAGCCTAATAAAGAAATAAATACATAAATATAAAAATAAATAATAATATAATATCATAAATAATATAATAAATAAAAAAATTAAAACTAAACTAAAACCATGCTAGTAAAAGTGATGAGTAGCGACATGCTAGCTTAAAGCTAAAAGTTAAATGTTATCTAAAAGTAGCAAAATAGAAGCTAAAAGGAAGACTAACAGAATGCTAGTAAAGGATAAAAGTAGCTAAATGCTAGTTGATTGTAACAAAACAGTAGCTATAAGTAGGGCTGGGCGAAATGATCAAAATTTTATATCACGGTATTTTCAAAATTTTCACCGGTTTCACTGTATTTGATGGTATTTTTCTTTTCATCACAGCTCAGCTGATAATAAGATGTACAAACCCTGCTCATACATGTCAGCTTGTACAGATTGTCCGTAAGTTATAAGGATTTTACGTCATTTTGCAGGTATACGGGCGTATAGAGCAATCTCACAGATTTTTTCAAGTCTTACAGATTTTTTCAAAACCAGATTTTCAAATTTATCTAACATGTCAGAGCCTGTAGGATGATAAAAAAAAGCAAACAACATAAGACAGCCATCTTTTAACCTGTTCTGCCTCTAGAAATAAGTTTTGAACTTTTTCCGCTCTCCTCTCCTCCTGCTGCTCAGCGGAACTACTTCCTGCGGGCTTTTCACAATAAAACCACGTTAAGTCTCCATCAGCATAACGTCTCCATATTAACTAACTGCGTTAAATCTAACTGTGCACGTCACTGAAGAGGTGTTTACTACATTCAGCGATGGCGAAAACGGGATGTTTTTTTAAACGTCAGTCAATATAAGCAGCAGAATAGCCACCCGCGGCTGCAACTAGCTGCTCCAAACATTAGCATGCTAACACACATAGCGGTGCAGCAAGGAAAAATGTACCCCGGGAAACAACAGTTCACTGGCGGCCGCGACGAAACTTTCCCCTATTTAAACCGGAATGTCCGGTATTCAGAAAATTCATATCATAACAAAAATAAAAACCGGTATTCGGTACAAAACGGTATACCGCCCAGCACTAGCTAGAAGCTAATTGTAGCAAAATGGTAGCTTGAAGGTCAATGAAGCAAACAGCCAAATAAAAGCTAAAACTAGAAAACTAGCACCTAATTGTAGCAAAATGGTAGCTTGTAGGTCAATGAAGCAAACAGCCAAATAAAAGCTAAAACTAGAAAACTAGCAGCTATAAACTACAAGTAGAAGAAGACAAAAATGGAGCTAGTATGTTTAAGCAGATGTCAAAGAAATCATTTTTAAGGAATCTGAGATCTCAATGTATTTTTACGGAAATAGTTGTAAATAGTTTTATGTTTTTGACAAGTATAAATGTTACTAGAATGAGCTGAATGTTTTGCTTAATGAAAGGCTAAAATAGCAAAGTATGCAGAAGTAGTTAGACTACAAGAAACACGTTAAAAATAAAAAACAGATAAAGAACAGTCTGAATGGTGCATCATCACTGCATTTAAATAATTACCTCCATTTTGTTTTAACAAATTGATTTGAACTCTGCTACCATCCTTATTTATCGTACCCTCTTTGTGTTCCTAAAGCGGGGAGTTCCCCCAGCCAGAGCCCCACAGGCTGGTCCCAGTCCAAAGCCCCACCACCTTCCCAACGAGAGCGACGTTTATCCGTCCCCACTCAGGAGAAAAATAAAATAGTAAGTTCAGTGCAAACCAAATTCCACTCACATGAAGCTCGTGCGTCATCGGTTGTGTCCTCCTGCTTCCTGTTCACTCAGAGGCCTCGGGAAAAGCGGGACTCTAGTTATTACTGGGAGATCGAGGCCAGCGAGGTGGTTCTGCATTCCCGCATCGGTTCAGGCTCCTTTGGAACGGTGTACAAAGGGAAGTGGCACGGTGAGAATGCACTACAAACACACTGTCAGCTGGAGCACAACTCACGCAGTATGGATTGATCAACATGTGTGAAAGTGATTAGTGCGCTTATCATACCTTCCACACGAGCTTTTTGTGCTAAAATTAACCACAAAGTTGTGTATTTCTGTCGTAGGTGATGTAGCAGTGAAGATTTTAAAGGTCACTGACCCAACACCAGAGCAGTTCCAGGCATTCAGAAACGAAGTGGCCGTCCTGAGGTAAGAAATAACTCCAAGCTTTTACTATTTAAGTCTTGATTTTATCCTCCATCACCAAGCTCCTACAGCTGTTCTAACACACAGACTGTTGAAGATCCAGCAAATCCTCTTTATCCCCAACCGTTTCTCTAACCGTATCTTCAGTTTGATGATTTCCTTTTCCCCTCTGCTTCGGGGGTTGCAGGAAAACGCGACACGTCAACATCCTCCTGTTCATGGGCTACATGACGCAGGACAACCTGGCCATCGTGACTCAGTGGTGCGAGGGCAGCAGCCTGTACAAACACATTCACGTCCTGGAGACGGACTTCAAGATGATCCAGCTCATCGATATTGCCAGACAGACGGCTCAGGGCATGGAGTGAGTCAGAAAGAGTGAACGTCTTTAAGCCACCAATAAAAATAACTGCAGTTTCTAAAAAGAGTTTCTCCTTTTCCAGCTATTTACACGCAAAAAACATCATTCATCGTGACATGAAGTCCAACAGTATCCTTTCTTTTCTGAGTGTGAAACACAACTTGAATCATAATAACACCCAAAATGAGAACTTCCTGTGTGTTTTCGGCTTCAGTTCCTTGACATCAGTGTAGACATCTTCTTGCATGAAGGCCTAACGGTGAAAATAGGGGACTTTGGTCTTGCCACGGTGAAGGCCAGGTGGAGTGGCTCTCAGCAGGTGGAGCAGCCCTCTGGATCGATTCTGTGGATGGTTAGTGAGGAGTAAAACCACAGAGATGGCGACGGGGAAAACCTTTGGAGTTATGGTAAAAACAGAACCCTTTTGTTGTTTGTGGACAGGCTCCTGAGGTGATCCGGATGCAGGACAACAATCCTTACAGCTTCCAGTCTGATGTGTATTCATACGGAGTGGTTCTCTACGAGCTCATGACGGGAGAGCTCCCGTACTCCCAGATAGCGAACAGAGATCAGGTAAAAACTCACATCTAACTGCACCAAGGCTGGTTTATACTGACATTCTCACGTCTTGCTTATAGTCTCACATGACGAAAATTGCGTAAATTTATATTATCTCCCGCCGACACCTCGTCTTGTACTTTGCACGTCATCGTCTTCCTTACATCTCCACAAAAACAAACTTGATTTTCCTCTGCCTCCTCTTCCAACAACACAAGCCTATCTTCAAACTTCTAATTTGTCATCAAGTGAAAAAAACAACTAATCTTCTGTCACTGTTGTTATTATATGCTTTGCTAAGCACGATGTGGGCTACATTGGGAGTGCCGTGGGAGGGATTATGATGATTTATCCCCTGCCTCTTCAGCCCAACTATAAACGCTCAGTAAGAGAAAGACGTCCGAAACGATGTAATCACTGTCTCTGTCTCACGTCCTGTTGAAGTCCAAACCAGGCTTAACGTGTCCACTGAAGGTTAAAGGTTGGAGTATTTTCCGACCTGATACGTGTCACGCACAGCTGTGACCTCACAGTCTGACCCGTCTCTGAGCTCTGGCTCCTGGGTCAGAGTGCAAACCCAGTTCAGGAGGCGGTGAAACGACTGAAGGGGGTCTCGGTGCTGGCCTAAGGCCCGACATGCAGCTGAGGCGGACGCCGTGGAGCCACCGGCCTAATTATAGCCCTCGTAATACAACCCTGTGTGGGGAAAAGGGGGTTTGTGTATGTTTGTTTGTCTGTTTTTTTTTTTGTTTTTTGTCCTTTCAGGCCACGAGACCTGATCTGACATTGTCTGAATGAAAATCAGGCTGAGCGTGCAAAGTGTCCCTAAAGTTTCCATCCTCTGTTGTTCCCTGTTCTCCTTCACGCAGAAGGACTTGGTGCTCAGCAGATCTGGCAGGCACACGGAGTACTCCTTTCATCGTTCCTCTCTGCACCCTCATGCCCTCACAATAGCTGTAGTGTTTTAGATGTCGGTCACCTTAGACTCAGAGGCCATATTTATAAAGTCTATCTGAGTCTGACCTGCTGGTTCACGACTGATCGGGTTGTTGGCTCAACTTTATAGGACATTCAAATGATATTCTTCTCATCTGCTCTTCGTTCTTCCCCCCGTTTAGATTATTTTCATGGTGGGCAGGTGCTATCTGTCCCCAGACCTCAGTAAGCTCTACAAGAGCTGTCCCAAAGCCATGAAAAGGTTGGTGGCAGACTGCATCAAGAAGTCCAAGGACGAACGGCCGCTCTTTCCGCAGGTGAGGTTCTCACTCGCTCTAGAATTTGGATCTGAAATAAAAAACATTTTGCTCGGCGGTCTGTGCACTTTTTGATCATTTGATTTTCATTTTAAAATCAGATATTGAAAAATGGATGGTTCTTTTCATTTTATACTCAAAACAACGGAAAAGCTATGTCTTTTTTTAAATTTTACTCAAACTGTAAGTTTACTTCTGCCATCGAGGCAACTCAACGTCCTGTGGAACAAAGAACCTCACAGTGACGTCTTGGAGAAAGGCTTCATGTGCTAAAAACACCAGAAGCTCAGGAAAAACTTTCACTCATCAGTGATACACAAACCATTGGCTGACACCTGTTGAAGAAATGTAAAACTAGTTAGCTAGTTAGCGTTAATTTATTGCAGCTGCCTGGTTAGCCTAGTTAAAAAGTAAAATGTGTTAATTTATCCCATTACCACCTCATTTAAGGTCAAGCAAGTTGAATAATAAAAACTAAAGAAATTAGCGAGCCTGGCTTTAAAAAATACAGTCTGTAGTTAGCTCCAATGAGGAAGTACAGTTGAGTTATTTTTATGAAATAAGTCGTGACAATAAGCTCGCTAGTTTTCACTTGAAAACTGCTAGTCTGCATTTCTGATGGTTCAAACCTGTGGCTGCAGCAACTTCCACAGGACAGCGTTGACTTGCCTTGATGCTGGTAAACTTCTGGTTTAAGAGAAATACGTTTTCTGGTTTTAGAGTATAAAATGAAACTTGAAAAACCATTTTTTTGTTTTACAGCATCTGTTTTTAAAATGACCAAAAAAGTAGGCGGACCCTCAGCTCATCTTTTGCTCTTCTCTCTTCATTCTCCTAGATCCTGTCGTCCATCGAGCTTCTCCAGCACGCCCTTCCCAAGATAAACCGCAGCGCCTCAGAACCGTCCCTGCACCGTGCCTCGCAGACCGAGGACATCAACACGTGCACTCTGATCTCCACCAGACTGCCTGTGTTTTAAAAACACTCGAGTAAAAAAACAAAAAAAAGCTCTGCCTCCTCACGTACAGCCTCCTCCTTTTCAACAATACTCTACTTCCTCTGAACCGTCAGTATACACAAAGTTCCTTCTGAAGTATGTTGGTCCTCTCACACACACACACACACACACACACACACACACACACACACACACACACACACATACACAGGAAGATGACAGTCTGAAACAGACTGTGGAAGAACGATAATGGATTGTAATTATGGGATGGCATCAGCTGTAAGGTACATCACCCCGCCACGTTTTTCGACGACGCTTCACGTCGGCGTTAGTTCGGTTTAAGTTGTAAATATTTGCACGGTCGCCTACCTGAGACGATGAATGGACACTGAAGGACGCTCAGGGGACAGACTTGTCTCTTGTTTTGCATTCTGTGACATGAAGCACACTCTTATAAAACCTTTTATGGTTTCTGGCAACAACAAAACAAACAAACAAACAAAAAAGACTTTTAAAGCTTTCCTGCCTTAAGAGGAAACAAAGCCTCGACTAAATTTCTGCACAACTTTCAGCTCCTCTGGTTCCCACAGGCTGGATGTAGTTTGTGTTGCACAGAAGTAGATTTTTGTCTTAAACGATGTAGATGTGGGATTTATTTTTTATTTTTTTGTTAACGTCTTTCAGTTGTCTCTATTTTAGGGGATGTTTTTGATGATTTATAACCTGTCCGACAGCATCGTTTTCTCCAAACAGGTGGGCTGAGGTTTGTTATCACGGCAGGTGTCTTAAATATTTAAATATGATTTGGGAACTAATTTGTGTTTTTATTCACTGTGTCACATTCAGGAGGTTAAATGTTTTATTGTGAACTTGGTGGGAAAGTTGTTTATTGGATATTTTAATAAATTTAAGTTAAAAAGGTTTGTTTTGCTACAGTCATGTTTTTGTTATTTCTTTTTATCTTGATGTAGATTGATTTTATTTTAACCCTCAACCCCCTCATCTTTTGACAAGCTTGCGACGTGTTAAAAGTCAAGAAAAACAGAATGCCATAATTTTGTTAATCTCATCCCATATGTCTCAAAAAAGCTGTAAATTAAGTGATGCAAATTAAAAATCAGGAGTATTACATGTCAGAGGACTGGGTATGAAATGAACTTTTTAGAACGGCTGAATCGGAGGTAAAAACGGACAAGTTCTGATCGGTGAAACATCAGAAAATAGTTTTGTCAAGACTGAATATCTTAATCTACAGTTTGTGATTTCAGCAGAAAATATAATCTGAAGAAATTCTGGAAACCACAAACGGCACATCTTCAAAACGAAACAAAAAGATGTGTGTACATATACATGTTCAAACACGTTTTGGCCAACTTTACAAGGCCATCTGTATGAAAAGAAGTAGGTTAGAGTAAATACATTTTTTCTTATGCTTTCTCACTTTTTAGTTGATCAATATAATTTTGGTACTTATTTGTGTTAAACCTTACTTTAAATGCAAAGTTACCTCAATTACAGCAGAATTTAATAATAGCTTGTTTACCACTTCAGTGTTTGAACACATCTTTAAATACCAAAACTTATGTCCACATAACTCAAAATGACTTCTTTTTTCTTTTACTTTTATATTTTCACAGTTTCAACTCAACAATCCACCCCCCACATGCATATTTACTTTTCCTTTTAGTTTAAACACTTTAAAAATATACATTTTATTTCTCTATCTCACACTATCACAAAATACATTTTAAAGATTTCTTGGAAATTCTTCGTTGCTGGCTTTAAACATAAATTATGCAGATTTTAATAAAACTAAATCATAAAATTTCAGTATGTTTGACTTTAAAAAATAGTTTGGGCTACAACCCAACTTTATAAATGATCCTAAATGTTTATTTGTATCTTATAAAGTGGTTGTAGGTTGCTTTTGGATATGCAACCCCAAATTTGTACACACTAAGACCGATATGATACAAGTAATGGATACAGAATGAACTGTTGAGCTTTCCCCAATATTGATCAACATTTGTTTTTCAAATTTCTTTGAATAATTTTTGTTTTTCAGCAGATTTTATGGTCCAGTATTACACCCAATAATGTAATTTTGTTTCTATCTCCATTTTATCAATCTGTTTCTTCAGGTACTATTTTATTTCCAAACAACATAGATTAGTTTATTAAATGACATTTTATTTAAATCAAACCATTGTTTCAATTCTGTCTTTTCTGTAGTGACTCGCTAAAAGCTCCCTAAAACAAAGGAAATTAAGATCATCTGCAAGTAAAACCTAATTTAACGATTCTGATTCTCTGCACATATGAGCGAACAGTTTTGGTCTAAACACTGACCCCTGCGGGACCCCACAAGTCATTTTTTTTCAATGATCACCAATTTGAGCAAACTTCTTTCATAATTTTCCAGTTTATTCAATAAAATCAGGATCGATGGTACTAACATGTAGGGGGGCATTCCACCTTGTTAGTGTACAGTTTAAAATTCTGCCTCTCTGATGTTATGGGTGTACATTAATGCCTCTGGCATGGACAGCTTGCCATCAATGCAGAACAGTAAACAGGTTTTACAACAAAATAAGCTAACTAAACATTTTCGGGGAAGGCCTTACAGTATTTCAGCAAGTCGATGCTAACCCACATTCTGCATCCGTGACGACAGCGTGGCTTCAGTGTCCGTCTGGTGCTGAGCTGCACCTCTCACCAACTGATAACGTTTGTCACATTATGAAACAAAAAGTCCAGTAAAGACCCAGAACTGTTGAACAGCTAGAATCCCTCACCAGTCAATAACGGGACGTCCTCTCTGAACAACTGTCTCAGTTCCTAAGTCAGGGTTACTTAACTGGTGGTCTGCAGGCCACTTCTGGTCCATCGGTGACTTCAGTCTGGCCCACCAACGAGTTGTTTATTTATTTATTTAGACTTGAATAACAAATCCTGTTACATACTGTGTTGTTTGACAGAGATAACTCAGTCTGCCTGTCAGTGACTTCATTTAATATAAAAATGGATTTTAAATCAGAATCTTTTTTACTTGTGAGTGAGTGAATTGTCTCGTTCATTTCGATGTGGCTCTGTGATGGACTTGTAACCCGTCCAGGGTGCACCCCGCCCCTCACACAGTGACACTGAAAGGAAGAAGCAGGTATATAGTAGTATTTTAGTAATATAGTAATTATTTTTTTATATATATTTTTAAATTTAATATCTAATTTATTTTAAAGTGATTTTAAATAGGAAGAAGATTAAAGTAGACTGTGTTTATTTAATTGCTGGATGTCCAGCCCCTGAGTTGTTTAGCTGAATGGCCCCGTTAAAAGAAAAGGAGCCCTGTCTTAATGTTGTTGTGATTCTAACCCTTGTTGCTGCCATAACATTTTAGGTTACCTTATTTTTTTCAAAGTATAATGCAGTTTATCAGTCATTACATATATTTAATATGTTCAATTGTGAATAAAATTTGGGTCATTCAGATTTTTTTCTCATATTTTACACAATGTCCAGAGTTTGAGGCTTGTTGAGCAGTGGAGGCCAGTGATGACAGACGCTCTGCTGCTTGAAGTCCCACTCATCTGCAACACTTTGCAGCAGGGTGTAATGTTTGCTGTAGCACAGGCGACGTGGTGGAACCTCACAAGGGATCCAGTCTACGACACAGTGATTCCATCCTGATGCCTCTGTGTGCGGCTCAGGGGAGCAGCCGATCCTCATGCAGGTGAGGGACCTGTGAGGACCGTTGTGTTTTGTTTTACTATAAACAGTCAGCAGATCAGGTCCTGCGGGACGTCACTGCCTAAACATTCAGGTTTACAGTAAACAGTGGAATATTTAGGGTGAGCTAAAATTGGAAATATCTTTTTTTTTTTTTTTTTACAAGTCCTTCTCGTGTAGGTCAAGACATGTAACAGGTGAGCAAGACCAAGTGTCATAAAAAGCAGAACCCTCAGTTCAGTTTATTTTTACCTCTGTGTTCTTTTATCTACATCCTGACTCTGTCCTCTACTTTAGTGTCAAACAACAGCTCCATCTAGTGCTGCTCATCACATGGAAACTGCTTATCAATCTTTACAAGGGCGTAACTTCAGGTCTACCATTGGGAGGCACTGTATGCTCGCTGCCTATTTATTTATTTATTGAATCATTGAATGGTTCAGGATATTTTGTGGTTAAAATGCACTATAATGCTTTTACTGTGATTAACTTTACTGGTTTCTTTATATTTACTCTGCAATCTGCAACTTTTCTGTTCCACATCAGTTCAGCAATTAAGAAAAAACTTACACTCCCTCCCCATCTTTTCCTACAGTAGCAAATATTTCACATTTTTAGAATGTATTATACGATGTACCTAAATGTCTCAATTTTCCAAGAGTATTTAGGCAATCTGTTGCAGTACAACTTATGTACCTGGTGTACTACACTTTGGCAATTACAATAACTAATTCACTAAATGACAATTTATTTAAATCAAACCACGTGTGGACTTGCGACCTGTTCAGGGTGTACTCCGCCCCTCGTACTGTGACTGCTGAATATGGGCACCAGTGACCCTGAAAGGAAGAAGTGGGTACAGATAATGGATGGATTCACTGAATCCAGCCAGACTAAAAACCCTGCAAATGACGTAATTTTATTGGGAGTGTTTTATTGACTGGATTAAATTATTGTGGGGGGCCCCCCCCCCCCCCCCCCCCCCCCCATCTTTTTACTTCTACTCCTTACATTTTAAAAATGGTTTCATTTCAGCTGATGCCCTATTGGTTTGTACGATCCATCGCACTCCAGCAGAACATAGCAGACATATGTAGCCGAGTCTGCAGACGAACCTGGCTGAGATGTGGATGAAACAGGTAGACTAGTGCATCCCACAGTTTTCAGCTTTTGACCCACAAAACAGCAGTAGTTACATCTGGGAAGGTATCAGTTCAGATAAACAAGAGCAGAGTAAATATATTCATTGTGCTGATTTCATTTAAGTAAACTAACCTCATACTTTTGCAACAACTAAGGCAAAAATAAATGTTGTTAGGAGTCATTTTTAAGTGTAATTAATTCGGAAAACCCTTTCCAGACCTCACCTTGATGTTTCAGAACCCACAGTGGGGTTTCAACTCTGACTTTGGGAACTGCAGACTTAGTTCAAACCAAATTATTCATTAACATTTTAATATAAGATTATAGTCATTATGGTC